ATCGCAGGCAGGCAGGCAGGCAGCTGAAAAAAAAACCCCCTCTGGGGTCTTTGGGGCCTTCCTGGTCTGTTGTCGCGCAGGCCGGGGGCTCCCGTGCAGGCCGGGAGCTCGCGCGCACGCCGCCGGGTCTGTTATTAAATCTTAAATTAATGGTGCTATTTTTATTTTTTATGTCTCATAGGATTGTGTGTATTTCATATGTAAAATGTGTTGTATCTCTTATTTTGTTGGTAATGTTGTTTCAGTCCTTTTCTTTTACAGTAACTTTATAAACCACTTCAAGATTTGTTTTTCAAAGTGAGGTACTATGTAACTGCCTGGAAGTTCCAAGTGCTTGGAGGTTGAGGTTAGCCCTTTTGTAGTTTGGATCATTCATTGGGAAATTTTTTAGATAATGTACTGAAAATTATTCCCTATTCTGGAAGTAGCTATGATGTAAACTGCCTTATTACATTATGTATAAATGACTATAGCTTAATTGTTCTGTGTATAACTCTAGATCCTTCATAATTAATTGAGCATATTTCTAAACTTGAGCACCAATATTTTGATTGTTATGCTTATTTATGAGGCATTATCTCATAAGGATTAATTGCATGGCCTCCAGAAACCTATTTCCTGAGTTCGAATCCTTAGTATTCAGCTAACTGGCTGCTGCAAGGTATGTGATGTTATACTTGTTACATTGTGTATACACATCATGAAAATTCTAGATACTTCAAAAGCTTGTCATATGGTTAGATATGGAATGCATTTAGAGCATTTATTAAAGTGCCTGGACTGAAATAATTGTAAGTTTAACAGTATTGTTATTATTATTATTAGTGTTAGTGTACTGAAAAAAGGGGATCTGGAGAAATTAGTGCAAATACTGGAAAATATTGGTTGTTCCATAGCCATAATTAAGAAAACAGTTGCATTATTTTTGCTTTTACATATTTCAATTCATATTCTCAGTGCAATAAAAAAGTGATATATTCAAAGACTACTGCATTTCTCTTTCAGGATGGCCATTTGGAAGTACAATGTGCAAGATCAGTGGATTGGTCCAAGGAATATCAGTTGCAGCTTCGGTCTTTACTTTAGTTGCAATAGCAGTGGATAGGTGAGTAATACCAAGTTCTTCACCAGGTAAATGCCAACCCACCAGAAAAATATAACCTGCTAGATGCAGGTAAATCTCCAAATAATATTAATAGTACCAGGAGCAAATTACATACCTACTAAAGACTGGGTAAGAAAACAAGTAAATCTATTGAATTGTCTACATTTGAAAATTACATAATTAGGAATATTACTCTTACATTTTTTAAAATACAATTTGTTAATTGTGCTAAAATAAATGTGAAACACCATCCAGATTTTAAGTTAAAAATCATTTATATACTTTGTTGAGATTTTATGATGTGTCACATATTGTGCTGGGTGATGTAGCATCTAAAAGAAATGATCATGTGCTGCCTCAGGAAGTCTACAGCCCTGTGAAATGGAAAGATGTACTAAAAATCTTTACAACTAACACTTATTAGAAGTTACATCCATAACAACTGTGGAAAGGAGAGAATGATTAATTCTGTTAGGACAGGGAATAGTGAGTTCAAATCACAAGTGAGACTTGTCTAAATCTTGAAAAACCACAAATTTACCTTGGGAAAATGGGGAAAGAATACCACTGAAGACCAGTAAATACATGGGTCACTTGAAACAGGAGGGAACTTATCCACACCAAGGCAGAGGCAGTGCAGCTGAGAATAGGGGGGTGCAGTCACAAAAGAAGGCAAGGGTGAATTCTTAATTCAAGAATTCTTGAAGACAACAGGGATCAATCAAAGTCTTTTAAGTAGAAAATTAGTAACTATATTTTTATTTTAGACACACTAGTACATGTCTAAAAGTGGGCTGGAGTAGTGTGAAGGGAGAGCCATAAAGAAACCACACAGAAGGGAGAGGGTGTGCACATCTATTAAAATGGTGGCAATTAACAATGCACTGGAAGACAAAATATAAGTGAAAGTGATTTTATAAAGGAACCAATCAAACAACCAACAATGTACAAGTTAGCACACTCACAAAAATGTACGTGAGTGTGTATATGTACCTGCACGTGTGTGTGTTTGGATGTGTGTATAGACAGTGAGAGAAGGTTAAAAATAAGAAATCAAATCAATATCCAAAAAGCAAATTAGTAGATTCTACTTTGAATATTAGTCTACTATTTACATGATATTTTAACTTATTTCTAAGAATGCATCGTGTTGTTCTTTGTTTATTTGGTTTATAGGTAAAAAGAATAGAATTTAAACATTTTATTAATCACTATGTCCCAAAGATAAAATTTACATCAAATGTGGAGTTAATGATATCTGAACTTGCTACTTACTATATTAAATTATTTCATTTATATGTTTATTTTTATACTATGGTATTAGTCAGCTTCCCCATCACTGGGACAAAATACCTGATACCCACAACTTAAAAGATAAGAGGTTTACTTTTGCTCATGATTTTGGGGTTTCGGTCCATGTCAGCTGGCTCTAAAGCAGAAACAGCACGGTGGAAGGGCATGAAAGAAGAAAGCTGTTGGCCACATGGTAGCCAGGAGGCACAGAAAGAAGAAAAAGGGAGGATCTGTATGCAAGAATGTACCTGTTCAGGTCATGTTCCTCAAGAGCCATCCTTCCAACCAGGTCTCACTTCCTAACAGCATGTGGACCACTGAACTTATCAATGAATGAATCCACTGCTCAGTACATTGCCCATGTGACTCAACACCTTCCAAACATATGTTAGGACACTGGGGGACACATTCAATCTAAACATAACATGTCACTCCAGGGTCTCAAAGGTTTATATTCATCTAATTATTTAAGATGTACTTGGTCCTTCTGTAAGAGTTAGCAAAATCTTAACAATTTCAGCAGTGCTGAAAGGCCAAATCCAAAGTCTCCTCTGAGACTCAGGGAAAACCCCTTAGCTATGAGCACCTGTAAAATTCTAAACATTAAGTACTTTCAACATACAATGGCACAGAGTAAACCTTTCCATTCCAAAAGGGGGAGCTAGGAGGATAACAAAGAAATGGACCAAAGGAATGACAAAAATCAGGGTAAACATTAAATCCTACAGCTCTGTGCTCAGTACTGGGGCCTGGTAATGGTGAGATGTGAGCTCCAAAGGTCTTGGACAGCCCCACCCTCAGTGGCCCTTCTAGTTGCAGCCCACACAACTTCTTTGTTAGGCTGGCTCTTTCTTGCCTTCAGCTTTTCCCAGAAGACATTCCAAATTCCTGTCATCTCCAATTTCCTGCTATTCATTTGCCTTCAGTTTCACAACTTCATGCATCATTCTCTTAGGGATATATAGCCTGACCTTCCCAGTTTTTCTTGAAATCTGTGTAGAAGCTTTCCTGAATCCACAATTCTTGCATTCTGCATGCCTGAACAACAAATAATGTGGCTGATGCCAATGTCTGTCACTAGTTCATGCAGTGGCCTGAACCCCTTGACTCATAATTGCAGTGGCTTCTGAGGGCCTAGATCATGAACTCTTAGAAGGTCTTCCCTAGTGGCCCTGTATGAGCAGAATGCCCTTGGGCTGTCTTTTGAAAGTATTTCAAAGGAACTTATTTTGCACCTTTGGGCTTGCAATTGGTGTTATATGGCCAATTCCTGAGATGCCTTTAAGCCAACTTCCCTGTACCCTGAGTTAAAATACTTGTGTTCTTTACCTCAATTTTCTAGGTACTTCCTTTCTGGTGAAATTGAAAACTTTTCATATCTTTCAAGTCTACCTTTTTGTTTCTAATTCTTATTATAAATCTTGTTAAAAGCAGCCAGCAGTTACCATGCCATAGTCTGGATATTGGACTGCCTTAAAATTTCCTCTGCCAGATCAGTTAGTCCACTATCCTTAATCTCAGTCTCTCACAGGGGATCAGGTAATAGGCACAATGTAGACAAGTTTTCTGCCACAGCATAATACACATGCCCTCAAGTCTAGTTGCCAATGGAACCCTCATTCCCAAATGAGCCTAGCCTGTATTGTCAGAATTGCTGTCAGCATTATGGTGTTTTTGAGATCCTATCATATCATCCACCAGGCTCTGCTTACAACATTTTAAGGCTTCTCTAGCTCATATCTATCGAGTTTTCTAAATTATTTCCCCAAACTATCTCTAAATGAACCACACGTCAGATGTAGTCACAGCAATGAACAATTCTGAGTAAAAATTTTCTGTATTATGTTTTCCAATGCTAGGAAAAATACCCGAATCCTGTACTTGAAGACTGGTTTCACTTGGCTCACAGTTTAGTTTTTAAGTCCATGCCCAGCAGGCTGCAACACAGAAATGGCATGGTGGAAGGGCATGATGAACAAGAGCGGCTTGCCTCATGGCAGCCGGCAGGCAGAGAGCGAATAAGAAGGATTGAGCAAGGGAAAGAATAAATCCTTTCAGGTCCCACCCCCAGGGAATCATCCCTCTACTCCATCCTTCCTAACAGCACATGAACTACTAAACTAACTGGTCAATGAAAGGACTCCATGATGACCATAACACGTACATGATCTAGTCACCTTCTAATCGCAAGAGAAGCTGGGGGACATTTTAGGTATAAAAAATAGTAACTGCTAACAATCATTAATGCAGCCACCAAATTATTGTGAATATTTATAAGAAATCCTATACTTTTGTTTTATAATTGCATATATTTAGAATAAATGAAAAGCTAGTATCATATGTACTTTATACTTGGATTTTGAGCTTACATGTCTTTACTTCCACAATATATTTAGTAATGAAGTCTTAAATTTTACTTTTCTCTTTCTATCATGCTTGAGCAGATTTAAAAATAAACATATATCTTCATTTCTTTTTCTCATTGAGTTTATTGATACATTTTCAGTATACAGTACAGTTATATTCATCATTGGGATCTTGTACCTTTACATGACAGGTCTTGGTTCTCATTTTTCCCCTTACCCCTGCCCTCCCTTCACCCCCTCCTCCCTTCTCTATTTACAAAAACTTTATTTCCATTTTTTCATTTTCTCATATTTTTCTTTTCCCTTATTTCCTTTCCCCTACCCTTCCTATGTCCCCTAAAATGCAATGATATGAGAATAAATTATACAGTCTTTATTCAATGGATAACTTCATAGTTGTTAAAATTATGTAGCCATTCCATAACTTAAAAAACAAATCAACATACATCAACATGCATGCATTTCAAAAGCATGAATTCAAAAATAACCTTGCATAACAACACATACAATATGTACCACTATGCAAAATTAAAACATTATAGATGTAGATTAATATAGGTAAAGTATAAAAATATACTGATACCTCAGGTCCCGAAGGCTTCTGCAAAATTTTGCTTCTATTTGTGAACTCTGCATTAGGTGAGAAACCCAACTGTTACCATCTGCCCTGCATGAACACAAGTGCAGCCATCTTTCCTGCTGTGACACATGGCTGTGGCTTCCTCTACTCCAGGTTGTGGTCACAGGCCCATGCACACACACTGTGAAGCTTTTTTGTGTGATTTTTACCACATATAGTACTGTACAGTATTATTAATCCAGCCTGGATCCAAAGCAAGCATGGTGGTTAAAAATTGCAGAGCAGCAATGAAGGTGACAAGAATGTGCAGAGCAATAGTGAAGGTAACAAGAAAATGCACAGCAAGAATAAGAAAAAGATCTTGAAGAAAATAACCACTGAATTGAAGAAGGAAATTATAGAAAAGCAGGAACATGATATTTGTGTGACTGATCTGGCCTTGGAGTACAAGGTGGTGAAGTCACAATCTCCAATAATCTGAAGAATAAGGTGCCATCAAAGGAGCTGATGTGGCCAAAGAATTAGTGATGTTAACCAAGAAGAGGGCACAAATGCTGGAAGAGGTGAAAAAACTTCTGTTAGTGTGAATGAATGGGAAACAGCTGGCAGGTGATAGTATTAGTGAAGCTATGATCTGAAAATGTCAGGAAAGTACACATCAATTCACTGCAAGAAAACCTCTCTACAAGTGCAACAAGTGATGAATTTAAAGCCAGTAGAGGGTGGTTGGATAAGGTCTTCTAGGGGCGTGGTGTCCACAGTGTGATGAGGCATGTGAAACTTCCAGTTCTGACAAGGCAGCTGCAGAAGCCTACAAGAAAAAATTCATAAAATTTATGAAGGTAGAAGGATAAGTTGCTGAACAAGTGATCAACAGTGATGAAACAGGGCTTTTATGGAAGAAAATGCTGAACAGAATCCATATCACACAGAAGGAAAAGGCACTGCCAGGGCACAAGCAGGTCAGGTTGACACTTTTGCTGTGTGCAAATGCAAGTGCCGATCTGAAGATTAAGTTACTACTGGTGTAGCACTCCCAGAATCCTCATGTATTCAAGAAGAAGAATGCGAACAAGGATAGACTGCCGGTCATAGGCAGGTCCAATGTGAAAGCTTAGCTCACAAGGCAACTGTTCATGGAATGTCTGCAGGAGGTGTTCACATCCACTGTTAAGAAATATCTTTCTGACAACCATCTGCCTGAAAGGTGCTTTCTTCTGATGGACAGTGCCCCAGCACACCCTCCAGCCTTTGTGGGTGATATGGATGCTGAGTATTATTTCAGAAAGGTCATGTCCCCTCTCCAACATGACACTTATGCACCCCATGGACCAGCAAGTGATGGGCAACTTCAAGAAGTTATACACAAGGTGCTCTCTTCACCAAGGGTTTTAATGTCACTGAAGAGGCACTGAAAGAGTTCTGGAAGAAACCTTTCAATATCCTTTACTGCATCAACCTCCTTGACAAAAAAGCCTGGGAAGATGTCACATACTAGATCTTTAACTCTGCCTGAGGAAACTGTGGCCACAATGTCATTGACATGACTTTGAAGGCTCCGATGCACAGGAAGTGGAGGAGATTGTGTTAATAGGCAAGAGTATGGGTTTGAACATTGGCTGTGCAGACATAGAGGAGCTCTTGAGGATCATAAGGAGGAGCTGGCAATGGAAGAACTTGCTGAACTCCAGAGTGAGTAGTAGAAGGCACAAGTTGAGGAGCACTCCACTGAGGAAGAGGAAGATAGGGAGGAGATCAGCAGTGATATGATAAAATCCACCATGGAAAAATGGGATGAATTCCAGGATTTTTTTGAGAAGCACCACCTCATAACTGCAATGAACAGAGTGTTGAATCTAAAGAACAATAATGTGGTCTCTCATTTCCAGAGGATTGTGCAGCACAGAAACAAGTGACATGAGAGATTTTTCAGCAAAATAACCCTGCAGCTAAGAGACAAAAAAGGAGACCCCTGAAGGAGATCTCCCTCCAAACAATAACATTCTCCCCACCCACCTTCCTGTCTTCCACACCAAAAGTCACCTCAAGCAAGTTAGTGTTCTCTCTCTGCATACTGTACTGTAGTTTATTTCATTTTTTTGTGGTTAAAAATACACATGGTAATAAGACTTAATCTTATTTACACTGGACCTTATGGGGAAATTTGATTTGGTACACAATAAATTTTGTTGTCAACCACTAATATGCAATGAATTAAATTCATGAATGAAAGTACCACTGTATAAACAAGAGGGATTTATAGCAAATTCTGAATGTCCAAGGAAAGAGGAAGAATAGGATTGAATGTATCAGCCAGAGGATTTCAACTGTATCTTTTTCCCCCTATTAAGTTTATTGGTATATTTAAGACAAATAATACAATTATATTTATCGCTGGGATCTTGTATATTTACATGATATATCTTTCTTCTTGTTTTTCCTTGATAACCCTACCCTCCCTTCACCCCTCCTCCCTTCCCTGTTTACAAAGACTTTGTTTCCATTTTTTCATTTTTCACATTTTTTTCTTTTCCCTTATTTCATTTCCCCTACACTTCCCACTTCCCCTTTAGCCATTTTCCTCCTATTTCACACTCCTAATTATACCATTTGAACCTTATTTACACTTTCAGTTTTTCACAGCAGAGTAACTATTCTGTATTTACTCGTCTGTCCTATTTATTTCACTTAAGAAACTGAAAAAATGGAAATAAAGTGTTTGTAAAAGGGAAGGGGAGGAGGGGGTGAAGGGAGGGCAGGGACAAGGGGAATAATGAGAATCAAGACCTATTATGTAAAGGTACAGAATCCCAATGATGAATGTAATTATATTGTATACCTAGATTGTACCAATAACCTCAATAAAAAGAAAAAAAAAAGAATATATCCTCAATATGAACCCATTTAGCTATAAATGTTTCTAGTTTCTCATTCTTTATGGCTGAGTATACTCCATTTTATTAAAAACTACATATTCGTTATCCATTCTCTGGCTGATGGGCATTTGGGTTGTTTCTAAGTTTTAGCTATTACAAAATGTGCCGCTATAAAGCATATATCACTGTAGTATGATTATATTGATTCTTTTGGACAGATAGCTGGGTCAAATGGAACCTCTAATCCTAGAGCTTTGAGGTTTCGCCATATTGATTTCCACAGTCTTCACTCCCACCAACAATGGAGAAGGGTTCCTTTCTCCCCACAGCCCTACCAGCATCTATTATTGGTTGATTTCTTGATGGAAGCCATTCTTTCTGGGGTGAAATGAAACCTCAATGCTGTTTTCTTCTTCAACTCTCTAATCACCAGTCATGCTGAACATTTTTTCATATATTCATTTGCTGCTTTTACTTCTTTTCTGAGAAATGTCTGTTTACCTCAGATGCCCATTTTTGAATGAGGTCTTTGTATTTGAGGTGTCTGATTTTTTTGAGTTTTTTATACATTCTAGATAGTAGTCCTTTTTCTGAGGAGTAGCTGGTAAAATTTTTTTCCTGCATTGTAGGCTGTCTCTTAGCTCTATTGGAGGTTTCTCTTGCACTGCAAACACTTTTTAATACAATGAGATCACAGTTGTTGATTCTTTGTGCAAGTTCTCATGCTGCTGAGGATTTGTTCATAAAGTCTTCTCCTATGACAGTGTCTTTGAGAAGTGTACCTAATTACTTTCCAGTAAGTTTAGTGTTTCTGTTTTGATATTTAGATCTTTAATCCACTTGGATTTTAGTCTAATACATGGTGGAAGATAGGGCTCTAGTATTAATCTTTGGCAAGTTGAAAGCCACGAACTGTATCTTTGGTATTTGATTTATTTTAATAATCTGCAATAATACAGAAGATCATAATAAGATTACTGACATTTAGAAATGGGAAGAAAGGAGCTAAAGGTGTAGGGAAGGTGGGATGGGTAGGGGAAGGGTAATAAGGGAAAAGAAAAAAATGTGAGATAATGAAAAAATGGAAATAAAGTGTTTGTAGATGGGGAGGGGAGGAGAGGATGAAGGGAGGGCAGGGGTAAGGTGAAAAATGAGAACAAAGACCTGTCATGTAAAGGTACAAGATCCCAACAATGAATGTAACTGTACTGTATCCCTAAAATGTACCAATAAACTGAATTAAAGCTGAAAAAATATGATAGAAACATGACAAATAGTTACCCTTTAACATTTGTTAAATTGGGATAAGAATAATACAGGACCATATTATTTTTCTTCAGTCTTTATATGTTTAAAATTTTTTTAAAAAATTATACTTAAGCTTTTTGAACCTGGAACCTGGCTTTTCAGAGGAGCTATTCCAAAAGCACAAGCTGTACTACTGTGTATCATGTTTGCTAATGTCCTATTGGCCAGAATACTTTCCGTGCTCAAGCACACAGATAACATGATGAGAAACAGACAAGAAAATGAAGAAGAAATAGTTCATTGATTAACAGACAACAACCATATCTCAACAGAGCTAGCAGTCTATGGAGCACACTGTGTGGAAGTTAGGGCCATGAGCTCTGAGGCCAGACTACTTGTATTAAAATCCTGCATAATGCTTCAGGTTCCTCAAAGAGAAAAAGGTGGTATTTAACTTTCTGAGATTATGGGAAACTAGACGGTTTGAAGGTGGGTAAGGGAATAGGGGGAGACAGAGAGGGCAAAGGGACACAAAATGACTAGGATATGTACTAAGTCCCCAAAAAAGACATCACTATTACATATTACAAACACACACTAATAAAATCATGTGTAATAATGGGCAAGATCTCTACCTTTTCTAAAACCATTTCCTCATCATTTTGTTGTTTGTAGTGACAGCTCATGCAAATCAGTGGAACAAAGCCGGGAGTAGAGTGTGAATTGGTTCTATTAGATATATGCCAGTTATACACTCTACTTATTCAAATTTTTAGTTACAATGTACCTTTATATCACAAATAAAAATGCATGCCTCTCTACCAGCAATAATAACTTTACATGCTTTTAGGAGAAGGTGGATAGGAGGTCCTGAATTGCTTTCTCAAGTTGATTCTGTCTTGTCAGGAGTTACAAGGCAGAGCCTCATTTATGTTTGCCTTTGCTTACAGATTCCGCTGTGTGGTCTACCCTTTTAAACCAAAGCTCACTATGAAGACAGCATCTGCCACTGTAGTGATCATCTGGGTCCTGGCCATCACCATCATGTTGCCATCTGCAGCAATGTTACACATGCAAGAAGAAAAGTACTACCACGTGAGACTTGACTTGCAGAATAAAACCAGCCCAGTCTACTGGTGCCAGGAAGACTGGCCAAATCAGGAAATGAGGAAGATCTACACCACTGTGCTGTTCACTGCTATCTATGTGGCTCCTCTGTCCCTCATTGTCATCATGCATGGGAAGATTGGAATTTCACTTTTCAAGAACACAGTGCCTCACACAGGCAAATGGAACCAGGAGCATCAGCACATGGTGTCTAAGAAGAAGCAGAAGATTATTAAGATGCTCCTTACAGTAGCTCTGCTTTTCATGCTATCCTGGCTACCCCTGTGGACTCTGATGCTGCTCTCAGACTATGCTGACCTTTCCTCAAATGAGTTGCAGGTCATTAACATCTACATCTACCCTTTTGCGCACTGGATGGCCTTTTCTAACAGCAGTGTCAACCCCATCATTTATGGTTTCTTCAATGAAAATTTTCGCCGTGGCTTCCAAGATACTTTCCAACTTCAGATCTGCCAAGAAAGAGCAAACCTCAAGGAAGCCTATGCTCTAAGAGATAAAAACAACATGGTCATAAATCGATCTAGTCAGCTTGCCCAGCAGTCTGCACTGCAAAGCCCACGCAGAGAGAATGCACTAAATAGAAATAGTGCTGAAAACATCAAACAGGAATTAATGAGGGAAGACTTGGGAGAAGCTACAGATGGTAATGAGATTGGAAAAGACGCAGTGTGATTATCCTATCCCCATTGTGGTTACATGTTTAAATACCATTGCTTTTTGTGGCTTTGTACTTCAATTCTTTCTAGTGTTCTACAAAAATCATTTACTGAAAGCCTTCTATGGCAAAAACTTAAATAATAAACAAATATGGTCTCATTATCACAAAACCAGTCTTATGATGTGTAAAATATGTAGTGACTCATACATCTGCCTGAAAGTATCCATTTCTAAGAGTACTTTTCAAAGCCTGACCTTTGCCAGCTGAAACTTTTGTATGTGAGTCAAAGGAACCAAACACATCTGTGTTTATCTTATAAATGTATGTGAAACAACCACCCATCTTCCCCAAATCCTGATAAGTAGACAGAACTTTGCATGTAAATCCATTTTGTTAATTCTCCCTTTGATTTTCTGATTAGAAAATTTGTACTAGACTTTACTGATCTGCTTCTTTCTCTTTGTACTTAATTTTGTAAGAAATGTGTCAGATCAAGTGAAGTTCTTTACTATCACTGTTCTCTTCTTTACCAACTTTTTGGCTTAATTTAGAAGCATGATATATGTATATTTATGCCACAGGTGACTTCATTTAATCTGTTAGAACTGCAGTATGAAATAAAGGGAGATACATTTCATTGCATTTAGAAGGTTTTTTTTTTTTTTTAAAGAAGATTAAGTTGGGAAGCACATAAGTTGTTCCATAAACGTTGCTGTTATGTTTGTAACATTTTCACATATTTTGAGCTCTAGCTGAGCCCACATTTGCTACAGAGCTGATTCAGAACCCCAACTCGACCTCCTTCTAAGGGCATCACCACATAAGGTAGCAGATCCTTTAATAATGCCACAGACAGCTAAGGAGTAGCACTTCTTTAACATACTTAGCCGGAGACATTACACAGTCACCATAAAACTTCCATAATGTGCAGAGAGAGCATGAACAATCATCCCAAATTTCCTCCTGGGTACAGCATTTAAATCAAGCACCCAAAGTTTAATAAATTAGTACAATGGTTGAAAAGAAAATTGGCAACCCTGGATTCTGCCACATTGCAACTATGTAATGGTAATGGCTGTAAATGCTACCTTTCCTCTGGGGTGAGATAGTCCTCCAGGAAATTGGGAATTATAACAAAATAATTTGTTTGGCAAATAAGAATAAATCTCAGGGCATAAAACCATCATATTTTCCCCAGTCTTTTATGTGGTTTAAGCTGAAAGCTTTCAAAAGTCCTTTGAGATATAACTGTTGAGTTTTCATGAACTCAACTGCAGGAAATTGGCCTACTAGGAATGCCTAACTGTAGGGGGCAAACAGAGATTAAAGACAAGCCACATACTTCTGAAAGAGGAGCCAGGGCTCTTGCTGCTAGTGAACAAAAAGCCCTGAGCATCTGGCTCACCTCACTTTTGGTCAATTTAGGCAAGGGATCAAGCAATTGGGTTAATGAAAACTTCATGTGTTTCTCATTGTTTGCAAAGGTACCCAGGTAAGTATTTCTCTAAACTAGCTCTAAGTTGATGACTTCTCTGGACTTGTAATGTGCTAGCTTGCCAGCACAGGTACATTGCCAGGGGAGGCCTAGCTCTCTGTCCCCTCCTTTGTGTCCACAGGGAAGGTCACCTGCACCCTGACCCTTATATCTAGCTTCCCACATTTAAGTGATTTACAAGTGTTAGACCATGCAATCAGGAAGGGCAACATTTTGAAGTTTTAATTGCATAATTTGATACTATATTCCCTAACCCTGATTCTCTGATATTCTCTTGGCAGTTGGTACACTTAGACATTGAAGACTATTTGATAGAGATCCTCACTTGCTCATGGACATCCTTACCTGGATGAGTGCCTGGCCACTCCTTGAAACTCACTATGCCCTCCTCTGTCATTCACATGCTCTTAGTCACCTTGGTCTCTCATTATGCTTCCTAAAAGTCACAAAATTTATCACTGTATTGTATCCTGATGCTGATTTGTGCACCTTGCACTTGTTTCTGCAGTTGGCAGAGTTATCTTTCTGAAGTAAACATCTCATTTGCTCTACTGCCCAAAATGCTATCAGAAGTGATCGCCTATTAAAACACATACAGACACCCAAACCCCACCGTGGTTTCGCCCTCATCTCCTGGTTGCACTGACACAAACTCTTTTCTCACTCCAGTGAAGTTGAGGTGGTCAGCCTAGAGGGCTGCATTTTTCCATTTTTCGTTTATCACTTTTCTCTGCTTCATCCCCCACCACACTGTTTGCCTATCCATCCTTTATGCAGGGTCCACTCAAATGCCACCTCTCTTAGAAAGCCACTTTGCATTCTTGCACAGAAGTGTACCACTTTACTATCTCTTGTATGACAGCCAAACTTGTAATTCTTCCCTCTTAGGTTTGCAACTCGAATACACAGTGAACTGTGAAGAGGTTATGGAGTTAAGCATCAGCCATCTTTAAATCATCCACACTCTGTGTCACAGTAGTAAGCAGACAGTGTATATATATATGCTAAACAATTGCCACAGCCAAAGATATTTGTGACTTGCTCAAGAAGGCCTAAGGCTAAGCTAGCAGATTTCTGCACACAGATTTTAGCACACCTATTGCATACAAGGGAGAGCTTTTGAATAAAGTGAAACAACAAATGTAGGAGATGAAGAAAAACTAAAATATCTTGGCCATGCAAGTCTCTAAGAATTTGGATTCTGGATTCATATAGAATTTGCCCCTTCCGGTTTAAGGTTTTGGACAAATTTCCTTATCTGTAAGGTAGGAATAAGTAACTTTCACTTTCTATGCTTCAAGTACATGCTTATAAAATAAAACATTCAGTAACTATTATTCAGCAAGAGCTAAATTGTTGCTCATTTGGTCATAGTAGGTATAAATAATCTCAATATCATGCTAAGGGAGCTTTAATACCTTCTCTGACCCTTACAAAAGCCCTCTGAGGTATGTTATTATCCCCATTTCATAGGTAAGAACTTTGAGTTTAAAAGTAGTTGGATTTTCTAGTCTTGAAGCTTAAATGTGACAAAATGATTTTGGAACTTGACTATATATAATTAAAACTTTTTGTGTTACCTCATTTTTTTCACATATTGTATCATCTGTGTATTATAATAGATTTGTTCTGGACTTTTTTTCTCATTCAGTTTATTGGTACATGTTAGGTATACAATACAGTTACATTCATCATTGGGATCTTGTACCTTTACATGACAGGTCTTGGTTCTCATTTTTCCCCTTGTCCCTGCCCTCCCTTCACCCCCTCCTGCCCTCCCCATTTACAAACACTTTATTTCCGTTTTTTCATTTTCTCCTATGTTTTATTTCTCTTATTACCTTTCTCTTACCCTTCCCACTTTCCCTACACCTTTAGCCCCTTTCTTCCTATTCACATTGTCAATTATCTGTTCTGGGCTTCTTAACTACTTTCTAATAACTATTTTTCTAATTACAAAAATAACACCTAAATAACATCTATTACTTAAAGATTTTTTATTTTTAGTTCTAGATACTGAAATATAGACCCTTTATACTAAGCTAAATCCTCAGCCCTTTGTAAATTTTCCTTTGAGACAGGGTCTCACTAAGTCATTAAATTGTCCTGATAGGACTTAAAACTCCCTGGGTGCTGGAATTACAGGAGTATAACAACACACCCAGATATTTACAGAATTTTTGAGAAATACAAAATGGTACAAGGAAGAGAATAGAATTGCACATAATTCCACTATTACAAACAGTTTAAACACTTTTTCTAACAGTAAGATCAAAATCCGATACATACATCTTTGCCAAGAGTACTTATGTCCTTATGGGGGATTACGGGACATTTTTATAACACTTTTGGTCTGTTTTCATAAACACATTAATGTACTGTCCAAATTTTGTGGTTGCCTCTCTCATAGTCCCTTGCCCCTTATTAAATTTCTTTCTTCAAATATGCTTACTTATGATGCAAAAAATACTTTGAATTTCATTTGATTGATAATATACCATAGTTGAAAATTGTTTCAAGTTTCTTAGAAATTTATATTTCTTCTTCTTCCAACCCTTGACCATTTTCCCAAAATACTTTTTTCTCTTCCTATCTTTAGGCCTATCAGTACCCAACAACAGGTAGAAAAACATTTTGCAAAACAAAATTCAATGTCACTTTCCTGCTCTAAAGCCATCAATAGTTGCATTTTTTTAATTAGGAAAAATCAAAAATGATTACCAACACTTGCATACTTTGTTTTCTCTGCCCCTCAGCCCTTCCACTTATCCTCCTCACTGCCTATGTGCCCATTCCTCCATCATTTGCCAGAATCTTTGCTGCTTCTGGGTTTTTCCAGGAGCATTATTCCTCTAAGACACCTGCCAATTTCTGACACCCTGAACAAGCCAGCTCCTCTCCTCCTTCAGGTTTTAACTCAAACATCAACCAAGCATGGATCGTTTTCGCTACAGCAACTTTCACTGTCTGTAATTATTTGGAAAATCCTTTATTTATTTACTCATTTAATATTTATATCCCTTAACCAAAAAGTAAACCCCAGGGCAGTTTTTGTCTTATTTTTCATTTTAACTCCAGTGCGCAAGAAAGTGTTTGACATATCAAAGACACATGATCGAGATATACTGACTAAATTAATTAGTTGCAAATTAATTAATTAAATTAATTAGTTTTCCAGTTTTAAAATCACTTATAATGTATTTGTGAATATGAACTGCATTTACTTTCTTATATTAAGGTAATTCGGGTTATAATAGAAATATCAGATACTTTGAAGGCAGATGAGATACCATGAAAATCATTTCTAACCTTGCTGTCACCAGTAACAACTATCCTTGCTGTCACCATGGGGTAAGTATGCATGCTCTCTCTAATAAGCTTATGGTTTGGGGGAATATGCTTTATAATCTTTTCATTCATCTAGTACATCAAGAACATGTTCCATGCTAAGATTCTTCAAAATATTTTATTCATTCAATGCCATTCTATTATTTATTGAGTGTGACCAGAAACATGTTGTTTCTTACATTTCAGAAAATCGTACAATTATGTATGCCCTGAATAATATGGATATATTTACAGCTATCTTGAAATGGACTTCCAAGAAACACAATTGCTTGTCCAGAATGCATGTAAACTTCTCAATATTTTAATATACATTGTCAAATATCTCTTAAAAATCTTTTCAAACATTGTACCTCTGTTAATGGTGTAAGAGATTGCTCATGCTATTACTGGCTGTAATTCTATAAGAGTAGTTTTTCTTGCCAGTTTGATAAATAAGAATTTATTAAATCCCTATGTTTACTTTTTTATTTAATTATTGTATAACTAAATATTAAAACTTAATCTTTACCCAATTTGAT